GTTTTTAACCAAATGCCTAGTCTAATGATGTAGACGAAGTCCAGAAAAAAATAAAGTAACTAAAAGGAAATTCACCTCATGTGAAAAAAGAGGTTCTTCTCTGACAGATGGTGGAAATAAGACTAAAGGAAATACAGATGATAGGATAAGTGTTGTAGCAACAAAATGTATAATGTAATACAGTCTTCCTAACTGCTTTGAAACTCTCTAGGGCACTGTGCTGTCTATTACTGATTGCTACTTTCTATCATGCCAGAAAAGACTACTCAACTGTAGGCAGGAAATAAACTGCATCAAAATAGCAACCATGGCAATACCTTAACCAAAGTATCATCCCAGTTACTTAACACTTATCAGTGTTTCTTGCCATTGCATAAAGAATTCATTAATTTTAACTTCACCATTATAAAATCAAATGCTTTAATTAGGCTCTCACAGCAGTCAGAACTGGCCCCTGATTGTCTCCGTGTGCACATACCTGCCAAACCCAGAAGAATGTAAATATACATACATATTTTGATTCTTCTAATTGTACAGTTTCATGGTCAACTCTCCATTGTTTTATTGCTCTCCAGTAGTCTGCTCAGTATAAACTGGTTAATGCTGACATACAGATAGGAAGTAATGAGAAACTTGCTACCATTTAATTGCACCATAATATATGCTAAGTATATGTCTTTAGGGGGTTGAAGAACAAACCACCAGGAGCTACCGCACTTTGTTAACAGAAGTTTCATTCCATTCCTTAAAGAGGTATTGGGTAGTAGATTTCAGAGCTAGCCACTTACTATTTAAGTCTCCTCACATCTGAAACGTGTTAAGGCATCTAGCATTGGCCAGAAAGCAACAGCCTCATAGCAAAAAAATGCCTATGATGCACAATTATTCAACTATCAACTATCCAATTGTGTTTTATGTTCCTTCCTAGTCACCACCTACTTCGGAACATGACTGGGATGGGGGAAACAAGCAAAACCCGGGATTATTTTCAAAACCAGAACAGATTACACTAAATACTGATGAAACATGCAAGTAGCTGTGAGTCACTAGGCAGCCACTGGCTATTCACAGGGAAAACGGCACCACCTAGTGGGAACAACACTACATGAGACATCTGCATTAAAAAAAGTATGAAGAAATGTTACTCTGCAGGGCTTGCTAGGGTTTTTTTCGCCTGGTTTTTGGTTATTGATTTTGGGTTTCTTAAATAATAGAACTGATGCGTATTTTGTGGATCTATAGATTAGATTGGGGAAAAAAATTAAAAGAAGATGCATCTCATTGACAGAAAAATAATGTTGCATCCAACTGTATTTATAATGACCTCAAATAATTTTTACTTTGCTTTATCCTACTATAGCTTAGCCCCAAATACTTCATTCTGTTATAATCTCTCCAATGCTAATGGCAACTAGGTATTACCTTCCTATCCAGCCTTAAAATAATTTCCTCCTTTAATTGAAGAAATTACACTTGTTTTGTTCCACAGAGCTGAGGCCAATAAATGAGTTTAAGTTTCAACATACTGCCACTTTAAAAATGGAAGTGTAATGTGCTTAACTATCACTGATGTTTTCAACCACTCGAGTGCTCAACTCTTGAAAGTCATGATTTTTCTTCTGATACTTTCACTCATTATATTACAATATTATGAACACCTTTATTACTCCATAAATGAACCAATCTTTCTGATCTATCACCAGCAGCATACATTATCCAACATATGGTCTAGACTGTAACAAACAGGCTCATAGGACCATGAACTGGAAATGCTGGAAGGCTAACATACTGAGGCACGGGCTGAGTGATGGAACTGTTTCTAAATTGAACCATTTAGTATTGTTTCAGGCCTCCAATAGACCACCGAGAACTGCAGCTGCTGAGTGCAAGCAACACACCTCCTTTTTTATCCTCTCCCCTCCCCAAATCTAGAGATGGGGTTTTTTTTAAGGAAGAAGGCTTTGCTCACCTGAACAAATTACTAGAATGTAGGTTGACCATGCTTTTGAGATTTAACTGTCAAGATCGTATCTGTCAAGCTTCAAGCAAGCACCAACTACATCAAACTAACAGTTATGTGAAAATCATAGAATCACAGAACAGTTTGGGTTGGAAGAGACCAAATCCCCTGCCACAAGCAGGGACACCTTTCACTAGACCAGGTTGCCCATCCAATCTGGCCTTGAACACTGCCAGGGATGGGGCATCTACAGCCACTCTGGGCAACAATGGATCAATATTTTACAATAAAAGCTTAGAGTTTTAATCTATATATTGTTTAATCCCTTCTTAAAACATAAGGTGCCAACAGACTGTCTTCCATCATCTCAAAATACAGTTTGGGGCATACCCTTAGTATCTCCTTTGTTGTTTTACAGAGCATGCTTCTTGACTAGTACCTACCATTTATTTAGATGAGTAAAGGGGATAAAGGCACAGATGAGTGTTCAATCCTAAACTGACAAAAACAAATTCAAGCATAAGTTTCATCTTGTATTTATTTAGCTTTGACAACAGGCACAAAATGCTTTTACTTTCCAAGGTGAGAGATGTTAAGTCCAGTCTTGAAGAATCAACATCAAAGTACAACACAGACACAGGTGTGCTTGGGGGTAGAGGAGAGGAAATATATACATTAATTTGTTTTATTTCTAAATCTATTCCCAGATTCTAAAGCTCAACATGACCAACCTGTTTTCCAGACACCATAGCATAGTTTAAAGCCCTTCTGGATACCAGGCCTCAGCTTTCATGGCAGGTAAGCAAGTACCAGCCCTGAAGAAATCTCACACAGCTCGTGTGATTTGAGACAGAAATGCTCAACGGCTTTAAGTGACAGGTCCTGGATCCAGACCAGCAACATTACCCTGCAACAGCAGAATTAAGTATGTGATCCTTCAGGAGCACAAGACAGACTCCCCTCCCACCTCATCTGCCTAAAGAGGGGTACTAGTCCCCTCCAGACACAAGCCACAACCCAGCAACTCTCACACAGGTCAAGTCTTGCCTGAAAGCTTCCTACCAGACCACCTGGCAGAACCCAAATGCCACAGAACACTGGCCTATGACTTTGACTCTTCTAGCCCACAGGTACAAATACCCTCACTTTATCTTTCACTTTCCCCACTGCATTGGAATGCCTGCAATTTATACTCCAAACATGTGCCATAGTGGAATTCTCACAGACATGTATTAATAAAAAACTGAGAGTAATTTTCTTAAATACAGCACATTATTTCAACATCCAATACATGTAAACATCTGACATCATAGCTGGACTGGAGTTTCTCTGGTTACAGATGAATGCCTCCACTCATAAACTTAGAGCAAGTATTACTCTGCACTTTCCTCTATCCCTCCTAACCATGTCTTCAAAATTGCAGATGTTCTCTAAGTGCCAAATGTCTCTCACAGCACATTTTAATTCTAAGCACACAGGATACTAAACGGACAAAGCACAGCATTTGCTTACCACAAAAAAAAATTTTTTTTAAAGTTAGTTGCCTTTTCAATGGTTATTTTTCTAAGGATAAACAGATGACAGCCAAAACTTCTACTGACCTACAGTCAAACCCCGTCCCCCATATTAAAACAAATTAGATAGAAAAGAACTACAAGATTGCTTAACTAGGGGATAGAAAAACATCCTTAGGCTTCCTTCAAGTAATACATGAAGAAAAACAGTTTTCAAGGTTTAAGCAAATTTAGTTCTTTCCTGTAAGTATCAGCTTAGGCAAAAATGGTTGATATGAATGACTAATTAAAAACTTCCTCTGCATTTGGGTGATATGCCCATTTGCTTTCTATCATTCCAGCTAAGCAATGAGCTCAAACTGCTGAACATTCAGAATGGTAAGAACAGCTACACAGGTTAATCTTAAAACTGCAAATCTGCCAAAACAGAGTATGTTTATTACTCTGACTACATTTCTTAAGTGTGCTTCCAGGCATAGACAACACCTTAAGATATCATTACTCCCAAACTAGACAGCAAATATCAACCTCACAATTGCTGTTTCTCTATCACCTGGAACACTCTGATACTATTCCCATATTCTGTGTGGTGAGGACCTCTTTATATACCAATATCATTGCCATATTATGTACAACTTGGCACCTTCAAAAGAGACCAAATTTGCTTCCTTGGAGAGATGTAAAGATTTTTATTCCATAAATTCACTTTTCCTGCAATTCTGCAAAAGAAAAACATGGTTAAAACAGGTAGAATATACTATCTGTTTCAGCTGATAAATAAGACAATTACTACTGCATGATGTACAAAGTATTTCATGATGTAAACATCTGTGAATGCAGCATTAACATCAAGTCTTTTATTAGCATAAAGAAAACAACCCAAATGCGACAGTTATGACAAGATGCATGTTTTAGCTTACATGACAGAAGTGCAGTTTAAAAGGGTAGTATGTATTCTTATAATGAGTGAAGAGTAACTGCTCCACAATGTGTTATTTTGGTACATGATTATAAAACTATGAGTTCAAAAAAACCCTCACACATTACCTAGTCATGTGTCTTCCTTTCACTGGGTCAGATCCATTCTTCAGTTACAGGAAGTATACTTAGAGCTTTATGTAACAATTGTTTTGAGTGTTCTCTTTTATTTAAGATAATTAAACATACTAGAACAGCACATGGAAATTGACTAGTTATTCAATACTTGACAACAGGAGGAATTCGAGGTGGAAGTACTAATGGAACAGCAAAAAAGTGTGGCAAAGTTGTGACAGAACTTCTCCTTGTTTGCTTTTTTTCAGCAAGGGTAAAATTTACCAGCCTGACAATGCCATCATGACATTTCAGCTTACTGACTTAAAGTAACAACCCACATCTTAATGAAATTCTGAGGTCTTCTGGGGAAAGAAGGAAAACAAAACATCATGACAGCGGATGCTTAAAGTAAGGCGGTGAAAAAATTAAAGAATCAAACTGTTTCAGGTAACTTTTACCAACCTAGAAGAGCAGTTTCCTTCTGCACTCACTCTCCTCCATCGCGCCGTTAAAAAGTGTTTTGGTTAGGCAGCGCTTATGTCATGCCACGACAACCACCGCCCAGAGCGCCCGGCAGCACCGCACCCAGGGCACGGCCG